CCAGTGTAAGATGAAGTAAAMCCGATGTAGCAGCATCCCCAAAATCYCACATCCTSGCTRCAGCTRAATTTRTGATAGGAGAGGGAGGTCAGCATTTCAAACGAGACAAAAACCAAGGATTGGGAGCATTTGGTGCCGACCCAGGTCCCCCTCAACTGAGCTGCCCCATTCACCCCCAGCAGAACAAAGAACTTTTCCTTCAAAAAAAAAGATTTTTTTTTCCTTAGAAAATTTTCCTAATTTCCTAAGAATTTTTTCTTTTCTTTCCTTTATCTCCCTGTCCTGCAGAGCCTGGTTGGAGCTCCCGGGATTGCTCAAGGGGCATGGGGAATCTCTGGATGCCTGGGGAGGAGATTTGGGCCCCAGCCAGCTTCGGGTGACAAAGTCACCAGGGGAGTAAATAAATTGTCACCTTGGTCCCGGCTTCAGATCGAACCTGGGCGCTGSTATCCCCAAACAAACACCCGGGATTAAATTGAACACATTAAATTAAGACGTGTGCAAGACCAGAACTCCACCCTAACCTGGTGTACAGGTTTGAAATACAGGTGGCTGTCAAGGAAGGCAGGAACCTCCCTTGGAATGGAGAATATGAACCCCTCCAAATTATTATAATTTTGATATTAAGGGGCTTTCAGGCAAAGATATGGGAAAAGTTACTAGTATGTGTGAGAAGACAAACCGAACCACAAACCCAATTGTCACCAGAACTGTGGGAAAAACAAAAACTCTAACAATATTTTAATATTAGTAAGTCAAAGCATTACTTCGTTTTGTGGCCAGGATGTTGTTCTGGCCAAGATGTGCCACAGAAATCATCTCATCTACACATAGCCCAGGTGTGTAGAATCATTCTAGAACACAAAAATGTCACAAGACTTCCCCCCAAACTTTATACAGTCAAAACCCAAAGAATTTTATTGGTTTAGTGTTTACTGGTCCAACGTTTCGTAGTTCTTAGTATTTGTTTTTTTATTGGATCTGGATTTCTTTGCCTCTGATGCTAATTAGGTCCTCCTTCTGATCTCTTTTCCCAGACAAGGCGTCTCCGACCATGCCAGGAAGGGAATTTTGGAGCTGATGTTCCGTTGATGGTCACTGATGGCCACTGATGACTGTTGATGGTCCTTATCTTTTTTGAGATGTTAACCTCATCACGCCTCACCTGGTGGAACAATGCCCTGGAAAGAAACTTTAGCACTCTTCCCTCAGGGCAAAGGCGAACAAGACCTTTGACTAAAAT